CCTGTTGCTTCATTTTCAGTTTCCATCCTTTGAGCTATTATGTAAGGCCTTGTCCAGAAGAGGAATGACACATACACACAGCACTAGCACAACAGTCAAGATATCTTTGATTTCTTCCTCTTCATCTTTTTAACATGTTCCGATTAACCTTATTACCATCTTGTAGAGTATCACTGAATAATAAGAGTTAATAAGAGGTAATAAGAGTTTCTAAAATAAATCATCACAAAGTCACTCCTCTCACAACAAGGTAGGTAAAAATTTGTATCTGTCAGATATGCTTTATTTTACATATAGAATACATTTTTATTTTCAGATTACTTTAACAAGCCTTGAAAACAAAAACATGTATTGGCTAAAATATGAATGTCTCCCCCCTTTTCTCATGCTTCAAAAGCAGTAAGCTTCACTTAATGGAGGCAAAAATTACCTTTCAAAAAGTTATTGAAACTAATGACTGCAATTTCATACTATTCCACAAGTCATGGTGCTGTTTCTTCTTGCTCTAATGAGCAACTAACTGCAAATGCTTGTTATGACTGCATTAAGAAGCAGTTTACAAGAAAATATTTTTTTCTTTAAAAATCAAGGTAGAATTCCTTCAGTAGAAACTTTTTTTGAGATATACAGATAGTATTAAAAAGATTAGGATCACTAACTGTCTATTAAAACAGACACAAACAGTTAGTCAAGGAGCATATTAGAATTAAAATTAGCCCTTCAGATTAGGTTTTAGGTCTGAGGTAGTCTCAGAATGAACATTTAATTTATAGGAAAAGGCAAAATTGTCTTGCAGGCATTCAGTGTGAGTGATTAGGAACTGGTCTAGCAAAATGCAAGCATGGGTTGCAGCAATTTTCTTCATTTTCTCATATAGTCTTTTACTTTCCTTTTTGCACATCACAATTTAAATCAGCCTTTTTTTTTTTTTTTTTTGAAACCTAATGTCAGGTATTCCATTTTATGATAAAACGTCAAACTATGTGTACATGAAACATCTCTATGACACCAATTAAAAGTGCTAATGTGTAATGGCAAATACTGCACCTCGCCTCCCCTGCATTATATGAGATAGCTGAAAAAGAAACACATATTCCTTGACTCTCTTTAGCTTTCTACTCAGCAAATAACACAATTTAACTGAGTAAAATTAGGTACAACACTGCTACAATCTAATAAAGATTAGACTAGCAGGTACTATTTTTTCTTAAATACTTTGTATTCATCATTAAATTTTCAGAACAAGTTGTCAAAAATATTTCTCTGTTTGGAAAGTTCTGAAAATTTGTAATGTGGTACTTCTGGAGGGGAAGAAACAAAGGAAATTTGTGCACAAAGCAAAGTCCTAACTAATTTCTTTAGTTATAAGCCATGCAATTTTATTTTTTTTTCTCAATATTCACCAATTTTTTTCCCTGGTCTGTAACGTAAACAGGCAAGAAGGTCTCCATGGTTGTGCTGCATGAGAATAAGGCACAGGGAGTCTAAAAACAGCATATAGAAAAACCTGACTGCAGCTTTCACTAATAAAGCATAATTCTCTGTCCAAAAAAAAAAAAAAATATTTTCAAGGTGGTATGTACATGTATTCTACTGCAAAACACTGCAGAGGAAATTCAAAATAATACTTTTACCAAGATTTAACTACACTGATATCTTCAACAATGTAATTCAACTATGTATATCTTCCTAGGTGATAATACTCCTAAAATTTACCCCAAATATACCACTTTACTAGTAATCTTCACCTATACAGGTCTGGCCTCCACTGTTCTCCACTCAGGTGGTCCAGGAAATCAAGATACAACAGTTAATCGTAACTGCTTCTGACCATTGTCATTTCTCCCACTATTTTCACCTTGTATGCTTACTGGCAAACTTTTAAATAAAAATGTTTTAAAAATATGATTTAAAGATAAGCTCCTGCAACCTTTCATCTTGTATCTATAGCCCGGAAACCACTGAATGACTGTGTATTCATAACTTTTATGAATCCTTGTCTCCAAATTTATATGATACACTAAAAACTTATGGAACACACTTAGTGGATCATAAAGCAATTCTGCCAAAGAGCTAATTATACCAATGGGCTAGTATGAGATGGTACATTCACTTTCCCAGATCCTTTGACTGTTTGTGTTTGAGTCATGCAGATTCAGTCTAATGTATCCTGCCGGTGGACACCACCATACCATACTTTAATAAACCATGCTGCTGAAAAGAGGCACAATAAATAAAATAAATAAATGCAGTCAGAAAGGCACTTCTACAGTTTGGCTTTAAGATATGTCTGCATCAGCCCTGCAGAACTGATACTGAGACTGTTAAGTATGTGACGTTATGAGCTGCACAAGAAAAAGCGGTGAGCATAGTTTGCTCTTCATAAGCCAAAAGCAGGCTGCATCAGTCATTCAGAGACAGGAAACTAAATCTCATGGGGTCTCAAAACCTGCAGAGATAAACTGAAGACTGTGCACAAACAGCCTTGTTACTTCTCTCCTTTTACAGCAGAGGAAGTCACCAGCCACCAGTCTCCTGTTTTTAAGGACACCACCACACTAATAATGGTTAGAGGTATTAAGTAATTGTATACATTTTTACGTGTATATATATATTTTTTATGCACATATATATGCATGCTATATGCATACTTAAGTTCAAACAGCCTGAGTCAAGTCAAGCCTGAGTGCCTTCCCCTCCAACGAATTCTTGAAACTATTCCTTTGAAACTATACTGCTTCTGCAGATGAAAAAAAAAACAACCTAGTAGAAAGCAAACTAAACATTGCTAATGCTGTCAGTTCCCACAGTTTTCTTGCAAATCCCACAGAAGTTAATAAAATAATAATTATTTTATATATGATTCTGTATATGCCAAGGGTGCTTTACATTGGAACAGGATGAAAAATATTTTTCTTCCTTCCTTGGGCATTTTTCACACTACAGTGTATGCCAAACCAGAACTGGACTTTTTCCTTTCTGTAGAATCAATTTCTTTACTCTGACTTTGAGTTTGGGAATTTTTTTCAGACTTTTTTTTTTTTCATTTTTGTATATATATTTGTACTTTATACAAATGTAATTTGTAGAATTATTTTGTATTTTAATGTATAATTTAATCTTAGTTAACTGAACCAAACTTCCAAACTGAAAAAGAGCATATATGTAATCTATGAAAGAATGTTAAATTTGAACATTTCAAATGTAAAAATTAAAAAATCAAAATGTAATATTCAAGTTCAAGAACTCATTAATCTTGCACTCACATTTTTTATTCCTCTCTGCACTGTATTGAGTGAAAAGGACTCCATTGCTTACTCTCTATAAGCTGTCACTAACACTGAAAAATTTTCATCCAGAAATCATTTAGAATAGTAAACCTACTCCTTCCATTGTTAGCAAGGAAAGCCACATGTAAAAGAGTGCTTGCAGATAAAGTGGTATGAATTTCCATTGCTTTTCTGAAATAAAAACCCAAGAGGAAAAGGGCAGTTTAAATTCTATAAGTACTTAAAGGATCTATGCTGATAATAATAATGGTGCAATGAATTAATTGGTGTGCCTAACTGTGATGTGTGTCCAGAAATGTCAGAATTATGAAGAACACCTGAAGAACATCTAAACGAGAAAGTGATATGATAATCCTATGGTATGACATTGCTTTACCAGTGGATATCTTTATACTAAAAACAGTACATCCAAACTGTGGTTTAACCAGGCAGCACAGCACCACACAGCCATTCACTCAGTCCCCCATCTTCCAGTGGGAAGGAGGAGAGAATCGGGACAGAAAAAAAGTAAAAGCTCATGGGTTGAGATAATTGGTCACCTGCTGACCAATGTCCATCCCATTCCTGAGCAGCGTCCCCCCCCACTCCAGCCAGCCACTTCACAGTAATATTTCAGCATGACACCACATGGTATGGGACATCACTTTGGTCCATCTGGGCCTGCTGTCCTGGTCCGGTTCCTCCCCAGCTCCTGCTGCACCCCCAAGCCCCTTACTGGCAAGGCAGCACAAAGATCTGGAAAGTCCTTGTCTTTGAGTGAGCACTGCTCTGAAACAACTGAAACATTGGTGTGTTATCAGCATTATTCTCATCCTATATCCAGAACCCAGCATCATATCAGTTACTAGTAGGAAAATTAACTCTACACTAGCCAAAATGAGAACACAAATCTGTACCAGTTTCCTCCAACATGAACCTGGCTGTGGATTTGGTATGGTTTCTGCCAACACTCAGTAGTGTTCACTAACTCAGAAGCTCCCACCTCTGTAAGGCCAAGACAGCATCCCAGTGTTATATACACTTTTACAGCAGAAAGTGAAGAAGTGTCTTTATATGCATGTTTTTTCCTCAATATGTGATTTTTTTTTGGCCTTCTTTCAGTCCCACCCCAATTCATAAGGCACATCAAGCTTTGAAAGTCCAGAAAATAAGTCATATGTTTAAGTAACATCTTGATTGCACAGTGGATCTGTGATTAGATTAGATTAGATGTTCAGAATTAAGTCTTTACTCAGCAGGTGGTGAGGCACTAGCACAGGTTGCCCAGAGAAGCTGTGGATGCCCCATCCCTGGAGGTGCTCAAGGCCAGGCTGGATGGGGCTTTGGGCAACCTGGTCTGGTGGGAGGTGTCCCTGCCCATGATGGGAGGGTGAAAATGGATTATCTTGAAAGGTCCCTTCCAAAACAAACCATTCTATGACTACTCTTCAGCTGCCTCCTCACTCACCCAAGCATGGCCCAGTCTGAAACCAGCCCACCCCACACACCCAGAGCTGAACATGAAAACACACATATTCACTAAAACACAAGAGCAACTTGTAACATCCCACACAAGATCAGAAACCTGAACAGCCAGAGATCAGTAAGGAAATACAGGATTGGATCCAAACCCAAGATCAGACTTCGAAATTAATGGCCATACTTCACCTGTTCCCCTCACGCACCCTGGCCCACCTCCAGCCATGTTCCACCCCTCAGGTATCTCCTTACCTGTCTGTCCCGCAATTGTAGCAAACAGCCTGTGAGGAATCCTGGATGGGATTTTCAGCCCAGCTCTTATCTGGTAATACCTGGGGAGACAGAATTAAAAACGTCATGCTGTTACACAGGTGACTGTTTCATCCGTCTAAAAAATCTTTGAGAACATATCCTGGGCATCTAGACACAAACAGAAGGGCCCAGAACAGACTAGCTCAGAAATACTGAGCCCTTTTCTCTGCTTTGTAGTTTTTAACTGAAGTTATAATTTATACTGACGTTATCATCCCCATCCTGTTTTACAGCAGTCTGAATGAACAGAGACCAAATGTGTGACTGATAAGGAAAGGCTGTGAAATGATCTTGGTTTCTTGCAGGAAAAAAAAGAGATGGAGAAATACCTATGGAAAAATGCAGGGAGATCAGACCAGGAGTGACAAAAATTTAATGCAAAATAAAGGAATTGGAAACTTCTGTGGAAGGAAAACAGATGTGCTGATCTCATATCCAGAAAAACTAATTTTATACATAGGGATTATCATTCCTGTGTTCCATATTGAGCATATCATATCTTTAAAATGTTGCCCTTGGCTTCAATCATACCCTAAGCAGTTGTTTCCTAGTTACTTGCTATCCTATAGGTATTGCATATGTTAACTGAAGGATGACCAAAAATAAAAAAATAAAAAAAAGAAAGAAAACTTCAGCAGTTTCACCAGTTTATTGCACACAGTGCAAGGTACTTTACAAAGTTTGCAGATATGAGCTCAGTCCACACAGAGAAATAAACTTATCCTAGTCTTCCCTCGTTGTCACTTTCTTAAGCAAGGAATAACAGGTGATGCACTCCAGTAGATATTACAGCTCCTAAGCCACTTCGCTGTAGTACAGGACACCTCTGACAGTTCACAGCTCTCCCACTGAGCTGCTGCAAAACCATGCTGGTGTCAATTCCCCTTTCTTTGCATTTTCCCTTCCAGCCTATGTTTGGTTTATTCATTTATAAATGCCTCACATCAGGGTTGTCTTACAAGTGCATGGAGACATTTTCAGCCTGATTTGTGTTCATCCTCTAAATACAAAAATAAAAGCTAAATTAGAATTGTAAAGGTCTACCCAGAACCTGAAGACTTTATGACAGTTGGCAGAATTGTTGGAGAAACAGAAGAAGAGTATAACAGTATGTGGAAATGAACTGTTAGAAAATCCAGTCTTCTGAGAACTGCTGAATAAACAACAGCTCATACAGGTCATGCTTAGCAATGTAATCTTTACTCGGGATGTAATAGTGAATAATCTAGATCTCTCTCTGCTAGGTTGAAAGCTGATGGAAGGGGTTTGATGGGAGAGAAAAACAATAAAAAATGTCTTTGAGACAATTCTCTCACGGTCCCTCACAGCTGGAAGCTCACCTTACCCTACCTACTCCAACTTGCAGATCCCAGCCACTGGGGTATAGTCCTAGCACAACCCCTAGCACTTTTTGGTTTCTGTTTCAGGCAAGAACTTGGAAATAAAACCTCTCTATTATATTTTAGTTTTCAGAAAAGAAAACAAACAAACAAAAAAGCTCAGATTCTAAACATACAATATCCAGTTAAAATACCAGCAATCAAACTGCTCGATCCTTCTCTCCCTTACACTGTTCTTGTACAATGATTAAGAGTTTTGACTTATTGTTGCTGATTTCTTCAAGAGCGAGTACCAGAATTATGCCTTAAGACCCTTTGTATTTTCATTACAATTATATGCAATACAAATATTTAACTGACAAAAATACCCTCCTTGGGCTATACACACAGTCTAAACATTTCAACATTACAGCACTGTGGTATTAGTGCATTGCCAAGGCAGGGTAATAGGACACTACTCAGTATGCACATATTAATGATGTTTTGCTCCATGTCCCTTTGACTAGATTTATTCGTAAGAATAACATGCAAAACTGCCTGGTAACTCTTAGATATTTGCCTATTAAGACTGTGATAGGTTAGCATTGCCTAAGAGCCAAATTTCCACCTAGCTGCTCCTTCACCCACCCTCCTCAACAGAACAGCAGGAGAAAATATGAAAAATCTTGTGGGTCAAGATAAAGACAGGTAGGTCATCTACCAGTTAGGATCACTGCCAAAACAGACTCGCCTTTGGGAAAATTAGTATAATTTCTTGCTAATTTAAGTAGTAAGAAACACCTCCCCCCAACTCCATGCCCCTTTTCCCAGGTTCAACATCACTCCATCACTTCTAACTCCTCTCCATCCTCTTGAGCAGTTCAGGGAATGGGATGGGGGTTGTGCTCAGCCCACCACAGCCCCTCTAAGCTGCTCCTTTGTCCACAGACACTACCCAATGCTTTGTAAGCATCTCAAACAGCCCTAAACATTTTCATCAGGAAAATGGCTTCACTTGGCCCAGACTAGAACTGCTAACTCTAACACAGCGTTGGACATCAAAAATACATGAAGATACCTAAATATTAAATTTACTGTCGTTTTTTTCAAAGTAGGCTAGGTGCAATGGCATAAAATAACTAGCTCTTTATCTTATTTTAACCTCTCCCTGTTCATCTCCTTTATTCTGGCAAAATCATTTGAATGAAGTCATAAATATACCTATTTCCCTGTACCCAATGTGTTTAACTGTTCAAAACAAAAACTGCACCAAAAACTGATAGAAAGCTAAGGCACTCCATGATAAAGGTTAAAATTAGTTTACAGGTCTAGATGTGAAGAGAATCTAGAGACTGGTGAGGTCTGCAATGCTGAGGAATATGACTATCATTTTCCCTTAGATTTTATATGTGTGTATTGGGTTTATATGGCAAAGATATGGTAGCAGGGCACTGCAGAGGTGGCCTCTGTGAGAAGAGTCCAGAAGCTGACACAAGTCAGATAAATGCCATTTTCCAGTATGAATTCCATACTGGAATTCCATCATGGAATTTGATACACTCGTCCTAAAGAAAGGCCTTAGAGAATGATTCTATACCCAGAATACAGAGGAGACTTGTGAATATCTCTTGTCTTCCAAGCTCTGTGGAACCATGCGTTATGTGCATGCTGCAATGTCTTGCACCATGAGGTAGTGTCACTGTTGGTCCATTAGATTAATGCAAAGAACAATGGAGAATTAAGTCCCCAACATCCCACTGATATTCATGGAATTCAACAGATAGGGCAGTGAAAGCATCAAGGGATCAAAACAGAAGAATAAATTAAAAATGTAAAAGAAATGCTCATATTTTATCAATTCAGTGCTTTAAAACAGAATAGTTTCACTGAAAATTTTGGAGAACAAGTCATTTTTCAATGAAAGTTTTCAGGCAAAATGTTAACAATAGCTCTGAAGGAGATTATAAATACCACATACATAATAAGAGCAAAAAGTAGCTTCAATTTAGGTGACCAGAAAAGGGCAAAGACATCCTCATTTGAGTTTCACCAGACCCTCTGTTGTGCAGTTAAAGTAAACATACTACAGGAAACTAAATTAAACCCATTATCTGCATTTCTAATTTTAATCCCCAAATCAATGTTTAAATCACAAGACAGACAAATGTTGCCCGTTCTTCCCCAGATCTTCCTCTATTTGCAAGTAGGGAGGAATTATCAAATACTGACTTTACAACTAAGCAAAAACATGAAAATTAAGGTTCCTGTTCCCATACTGTGAAGTTGGATGATTACTTCAAAATAGTTTGTGCATTACTGAAGAGGGTTTTCTTGATCAAAATACAGTCCATTGTAAGCATGGCATCCCGTATTTTTTTTTCAGCAGCAAACACAGACAAATAGCTCCACTTCCCCATGCCACTGCCCTACTCCCTTCTTGACTGTGCTGTAAAAGTATTACTGGGAACAAGACATAAAACAGACCCCCACTAATGAGAGCAAATAATAAAATACTCTCTCTGTCAGTACCTCTACAAATATCCATGCTGTTATATGAGTGAATACCGTGCTCTGTCCTTGCTAACAGGATGGCAGATGGAAAACAGCTTTTAACACTAGCGATTACTACTCCTTCTGTTACACTGGGGTGCTGTATGAACTAGAAATGGGATAGATAAATCATGCTGAAGCAACAGGTACAGCTGAGCATTAAGTGTTCCTGTTTTTCCTCAGAATGAACCTAAACATCTATAGCTGGCTCTAACTACCTTCATCAGGAAATGGCTTCAAAGGCTGGTCATTGTCACCAGTCTCTTTCAATCCACCCAAGAAAGAGAAGGATCAATATGGAGATGTGAGCTCTCTTTGGAGTCTTCTTGACCTCTTCTCATCTGAGCAGACCACATGTATTTGCTATTTGGACACTGGAGCAGCAGAGCCTTGAGAGTGGTCTGAGCTGAGCATGGAGGCTATTGAACAAACGCTATTTGCGTTAAAGTAGCTACTATCTGCATTGCAGGGCTGGGAAGAATTCCTGCAGAGACGTACTTCAGCTCAACCCGGCTGAATAAACATCTCCAAAATGGAGTGAACACAAAAACGACAAGGAATGGGAAATGGATCTAAAGTCAAATTTATACCTAGCACTGGAAAATCAGGCTGAGGTAAGCATTGCAAAAGCCACTAATATAGTTTCAGGATGTTCTCCACCACATATGAGCAAGCAAAGGAAAGGGCTGCCCAATAGTGATACAACACTGACACTAACAACATATATTGCTTATTAAAAAAATATATATTCTCCCTCAAAATAACAAAATGTTTTGCTCTCCTGCTTACTTTTCATGAAGAACACAGATAGGAAAGCTAAAGAAGAGTACAAAGCTTTGGAAAAGATCATAACCAAGATGCCAAAATCAAAGAGATCAGCAAGCTTAGTGAGGAGGAAGCTTGAAAACCCTGGCAGAAGTGTCACATGGTCTGGAAAATTGATCATATAGATTTACAACAAACCCAAGAAATCAATAAATATACTGTAGGGCTGGAGATGTGCAGAAGAAAGTAATTTTTCAAAGGTGTTTAAATGGACACCTATGGGTTTTTGAGTGGCGTCCTACACAAGGCTTTACTGTAGATTTTGAAAGAAATAATAATTAAGAAATAAACAAGAAATTGCAATAAAATTACTGTTTCACTACAAA